TATGTACATCAACATTTTTGACCTCAATGTTCGAAAAAATATTGTCTATACATGTATTGCTTCTACTAGTGATTCTCGTAGGCTCCTGAATATGATGTCTTATGTTAAACTCCCCTAATAGGTTTATTAACAAGTGATTTTTTGCATTATCAACAAGAAAATTCAAGTTTACATCTCCACAAATAATATAGTAATCATCCTTCTTATAGTAGCAATATAGTATAGTATAGTAGCAATTCTAATTTGTCCAGAAAAATGTCGACGCGTCTGATTTCTATCAGTATTCAAAAAATTGCCACATTCGATATTATGCTGACAATACCCAGTCGTATGTATCTTTTCCAATTGAGAATCAATCCATTGCTGTGGTTGATTTGCAACCATTGTATGATAGATCTATGATAAATAACCTCAAACTCAACAGTAAGAAGTCTTTTGTAATAGTTCTTGGACCTAAGAAAACAAGAGAGAGAGAGAGCTAGTTCTGCTATCAATATAAAACTCAACAACGAAATACTTTCACAGGTCAATGAATGCAAAAATTCAGGGAACTATTGTGATTCTGATCAGTTCTCTGCCAAAGATCCTACAATGTTCTTAGACAGCTGTTTCCTAATAAAGTTACAGCTAAAATTATTTGAGTCCCTTATTGTCTCGAAACTGTCATTCTGTCATTATATTTATGGTCCTGCAATCTCACAAATCGATTCAGTTGGACTCCAGAGGATTCAGAATTTATGTCTTCACTTTTCTCATGGTATAAGCAAATATAATCACATAAAGTGAGTGGAGACTGGTTGTAAATCAAATTATCTAAAAGAACAGTTCGCTCAGGCCAGACTCAACATTCCTATACCATAGGTTAATGGACTTACACATCTATCAATCAATCAATCAATCAATATATGCTGTATTGTGGAAAGATCAGTATTTTACTGACAAAGTCTTTTTAAAAAAACGAATGCATGTCATAAAATATACAAAATACAATACATGACATTAAATATAAATATAAATTTCACAAATAAAACATTAAGATGACAGACGAGTTCAGGTGAACATTGAAAAATCAAGTAGAGTTAACAAGTTATCATTGTAGAATTCATTGATATAAAAATAAGCTTTTTTGATAAAAAGATCTTTAACTGTACTTCGGAACTTTTTGATATCTGTGCTATTTTTTATAATGGTGCTGAGTCAATGTGAATTTTGGAATAGGTAAGTAAAGCATATGGTTCTGTCTGGCGTTGTGACAATTTGTTTCAGGAGTGTACTTGCTAGTTTTATTTTTATGAATTAAGTATACTGTTTCCAGTATGTATAAACAGGTGACAGTTAATATTTTGTGGCTGATAATAAAGGCTTGCAGTGATCTCTTGGCCTAGACTTTGTAAAGTATCTCAAAGACCTCTTCTGTAGCACAAATATTGTAATCTGTAACTGTAGATTTCAATGCCCCCAGAAAGCTATTTCCTAGTGAATATGAGATTCGATCAATGCAAAGTAAGCCATTCTAGCTGTAGTGTACCCTAGTTCATTTGATATCACTCTAATAGCATAACATCCACTAGATACTGTTTTACTTAAATGGGATACATGTTCTTTGAAATTTAATTTATTGTCTATGTGAATGCCTAGGAATTTAGTGTGATGTTTGTTTACTATGTAGTGGTTATCCAAATCTAAATTGTCTAGTATACATTTGAAAGTAGCTAGTTTTGTTTAGGTTGAAGCACANAAACCCAACATTTGAAACATCAATTTGAATACTTTTTGAAGTGAATTTGAAAAACTCATGAATTAAACTCAACTTTATTTTGTTCAAACTAGCATTTGCTGTAATAACCCAAATTGAGGAACATTCCCCATTGAAAATATTCTCATCAGTTTCTATGTTTGGTATTTACTTCCGATGTCAACGGCATAGACTGCTTTGGTCATTAGCCATGTGATTTAAAGGAATATAAGACAACCAAACTTAATTTCTCTTCAAAAAATTATTGACAAAAAACTTATGGTGTGCATTGGAAAAATAAATCAACTACTCTGACAAATATGACTCATATTCTTAACATGCCCTAAAAAATGTTCATTTCGGTTGAATAATAAAATGAAAGTAATTTCAAACTTACTATTTATCAGAACAACACATATCATTGTAATCCAAAAAAATCCATACGGTATTGCACTTGTATCACACATGGCTATAATAACTGTTATAAGAAACATAACAACTTCTACACCAATACTCCACACAATTCTGGTTGTGAGATTGCCTCTGAAATCAATAAAAATATGTATTTATCCCTTCAGTGAAATGACAAAAAAGAAGAGTAAATCATTTTCTTTAATATTCTCAAAATTATAAAAGTTTACATAAAAAAATTGTTACAATGATTTTATCTGCTGTGGTCGACACATTGGATTAAACAAAAAGGCTGATATAAAAGTATTTTTGGTAAAAAATCAGCTAAACTTACATTTTCAAGACTAAAAAAGTGCAACATTACTGGTTTGATTTTAATGTATTTAAACATAATTTCTATGAAAATTGAAAATGATGGCAAAAAATACCTATATTGTAAGTAAACACATTTCGAACATGAAGAATAACAAGAATTCGAAATAATTTTAAAAATGAAACACATACTTGGTTTGGGCTATACAGAAATTGAAAAGATAATAGTGGTGATACATTTGATTTCTCAACTTACCCCATTTGTACAAAAATATTCATCCAACTGAATAACAGGCTAGGAACTTGTGCTGAGAACGTTAGCAATTGCATAAAATTAGCTGCATATGGAAATACAAATCCTATGTACGTCTTTCCCAACTTATATTTCGTAAAATACTGAAAAGAAAAAAAAAACGATTACTTGGTATGCGTAGATTTTTGCCTCACAGAACCATTACTGAAATAAATATATTTTTCAATAAGTATAACAGATTCAAAGAGTCATTTGAAAAAATAACTAATTTTCGGGTGAATTGTCGAGCACAAATATCATCTGGATACACCCATGAGCATTTCGAATGACCAGAGTGCTTTTCTAGAAAGTTAAAACAGTCTGAAACTTTTGGAGCTACTGCTGGTGTCATTACCTTGAAGATCATTTCTGAGAGCTGAGTAAGACGGTATGACAAAATAATTTGTATAGGATTAGTCAATGTCCTAAAAGTAAAAATAATACCTAGGCTGAATTCAAGTTTATAATATTGTAATGAATCTGAAGCCGGCCCTGACCGATATCTCAGCGACCAAACATATGACTCATCGCGAAAAGAATGCGGACGACGAACCGCAACGACAATTCTAGATGAGTGCCGAAATGACGAGAGGGATCTGCAGTGATCGTTGCCGTAATATAAAGCCGGCCTCCCGTCCCTAGTAGTCTAGTTCACATGTACTTTTTTTTTTACATTTTTCAGCCCTGTCCAAAAATTACGACCAAGGTGTCATTCGATTCGTATTTTTGCCTAGTAAGTTTAAGGCAAGGTCCGAAAACGCGCCGATAAAAATTACAAAAGTTATAAACAATTAAGTGAAAAAAAAATGGGGCTTTAGTTTTTTCTTAATATCTAGGATTNAGAATTCATTGATATAAAAATAAGCTTTTTTGATAAAAAGATCTTTAACTGTACTTCGGAACTTTTTGATATCTGTGCTATTTTTTAGAATGGTGCTGAGTCAATGTGAATTTTGGAATAGGTAAGTAAAGCATATGGTTCTGTCTGGCGTTGTGACAATTTGTTTCAGGAGTGTACTTGCTAGTTTTATTTTTATGAATTAAGTATACTGTTTCCAGTATGTATAAACAGGTGACAGTTAATATTTTGTGGCTGATAATAAAGGCTTGCAGTGATCTCTTGGCCTAGACTTTGTAAAGTATCTCAAAGACCTCTTCTGTAGCACAAATATTGTAATCTGTAACTGTAGATTTCAATGCCCCCAGAAAGCTATTTCCTAGTGAATATGAGATTCGATCAATGCAAAGTAAGCCATTCTAGCTGTAGTGTACCCTAGTTCATTTGATATCACTCTAATAGCATAACATCCACTAGATACTGTTTTACTTAAATGGGATACATGTTCTTTGAAATTTAATTTATTGTCTATGTGAATGCCTAGGAATTTAGTGTGATGTTTGTTTACTATGTAGTGGTTATCCAAATCTAAATTGTCTAGTATACATTTGAAAGTAGCTAGTTTTGTTTAGGTTGAAGCACAAGAAGTTTGCGTTACACCAGGCTTGAATTTGTTGAATATCTAGTTTTATCATATTTGATAGCCGATTAATTTCTTTATTACTCTATATAATAGTGGTATCGTCGGCAAATGCAGTAAATTTTCATGCATTGACCATGCATGACATTTAAGTATATTAAAAACAACATCGGTCCTAAAACAGACCTCTGAGGTACTCCATGGTTTATGTCACTGAGATCAGACTGTCCACTTGATGTTTTTACCACCTGTCGACGTCCTGCCAAATACGAATTGTTCTTTTAGATAATTTTAAATACGATCACATAAGCTCAAAAATCAAAGAATCCGGATGGCTAAGATTAGAATTACAACAAATTAATTTGCTGGCAATCACTCAGATTTGATTTTATCATCAGCAACAAAGTTATCAATCGCTTGACAAATTTACAAGAAAAATTGTCTTGTACTTACATCAATGGCAGTGATAAACATATTCCAAGGCATCAATACTCCAATACCATGTATGAGAAAAGTGATATAGACCAAATGGTACCTATCCGGAGGAGTATTCAATTGTAGACTCGCATCATCCATGGTTAAATTTTTGAAATTCAGTTCGTCTTCAGCTAAATTATTTTCTTCCCAAGAGGGCTGCAGTTTCACCGGCTGCTGCAGGCGGGATCTTTCGTTTACTTCTTCTTTCCCTTGAAAACAAGTAATGTTATTAGTGGCCGATAAGAAAACCAACCAAACTTTATTTATCTGAAGTGTTCACAAACAATTTCAAATTCATTTTGTTGTTTACATCCGTTGCAGACGATAACTTAAAAGGACATTGTGGCATTATCCACTACCGTCAATTTTTCATTTTGTAGTGTTTGAAATGAGAATATTTCTATCTCAGTCATTATGAGAGTGCAAATTGATAACCCCGACATTATCAGTAGTATGTAATTGAGAAATTAATGTCTAGTAAAACCCTGGTGGATCACTTTTAAAATTCATCAAGAAATTCATGAAAATAATTATAAAATAAATTT